GAGGATGCAACTAATTTCCTAGCTAACAAAAGCGAAGATGCGGATGAGGTGGCAAAAATCAGTTCGAACGTATTACTTGGGTTGGGAAATATTTTGAGAATATCTTCTGAAGATGCCAGAAACTATGGACTAAGCTCTTCAATCGGAAAACAGTGGTACGAAGTGAACAAGACTAAGGTATTGTAGAATACTCGATAATGACAATTTAATTACGAAATGTTTTTACTTCACAAACTTACAGTCTTCACTGGGATAACTATTCACGCTGGGTTGGCTGTTTTTAAACCATGGCATCTTACGTTAAAATGAGCAGAACACTAAAAATCATAGAGAGCTGGCTTAACTAAGCCAAATACTGTGTGTCATCATGCTCAGCACTTTACCTCACTTAGGCTTGGTCAAGAGCCAACTACTCTATGGTTCAAAATTCCCAATTTAATTTATTCTTCATTTACAGGGAAGAGAAATTGCCCTGAAAGCTCTTAAAATTGTATGGAAACTTCGAAGATTCCTCATGGTTAGTGAATCCGCTGTCGAACCTGTAGTTGTTAACACTCGCTATCTGTCCATGGTTCTCTTCGCGCGGAATAAGTTAAACGCAACCGTCAAAATCGACGAGACGAACTTTAAACTACCGATATACGAAGAAACCCTTTATGCAGAAGGAGTTAACGGGACTAATCTCACTTGCAAGGTGGTGTTATTCAAGATAAATCCTTACACTTGGCACATTAGTGCAGCAAGAGGTGAGTTTTTGGTTTATTTATCGTTGAAAGTACTCACGAGGTGGGTTTCAAGACAGTTCTCTTAGCGCGAACCATGTAAACGACAAGTATCGACAGCTCTCTGTGAAAAGCCATATCTTGTAAATTGCGTGTTTCCTTACGATCATTCGATCGATCTTAAAACACCGTATGCTTGAATGAGAGCGACTTTTAAAATTGTTTTGGGGAACAAAATTCTGCGGTGAGGACCAAGATTTGCAGATTTCCATTCTCCATAATATTTGAAATGACTTATTGCTGTGACTTGTCCTTGAAGCCCGTTACTTTATATTTTTGAGGTTTAAGTGGTGTTTCTGTGAAACCACACGCGTGACCATAAAAAAATCAAATAGTAAGACCGGATTCGTACTCATGAGCTTGAAGAGGAAAAGCTAACGTAAAACTTGTAAAGGCAAACATATCGGCGAACCAACGAAAAAGCAATATCAAAGTAAGATGACATTTTGAATACATGGTACACTTTATTTTGTCTTTCAGTAAAATCATGGGTCATTGACGTTGTCCTTCAACCTGAGAAAGGGAATAATTTGTCTTTATCCAACTTGAAGAAGCCACTGCAGCTGTACATACCGCAGAATTCCAACAATGGATCTAACAGTGATATACTAAGCAAGACAGTGCACTACTTCGTCAAACCAAGTTATGAAATGAACGACTCTAAGCTTATACAGTACCATGAAATTAACATTCCCCACGAAAGGAATGTAGTTCATATAAACCTGAGACCAGTGACATCATCCCCTGTCTCTCTGCGTGTTTATGTGAGCTTTTATGATTATCCCACGCCAGGGATGCACACCTTTTCAGTTGCAATACCATGCAAGTTTGGAGAACCGAAATGTAGCAACGATAACTACACCTTTTCTTTCAATGCTTCTGATACTGGCCACACAGGAATCCACTACATCGGGATACATTATTACGTGAACAGTACCTATGGAGACATGCCTTTCCACAAAAGA